TGCTAGCCATTCTTGATCAGCTGGACCCCACACTTTCTGATGGCCGAATTTGGTTGTTTGGCTTCAACACCTACTTTTTCCAGCACAATTCCCTTTCCATGAGAAGCACCTCCAAAAGGGTCGACCTTCAGGGCTGTGCCCAAAATGGACTTTCTTGTACTGTTTATCATGCCATTTCTGGTCCTGTCGGTGACTGCGGAGCTTCCTGGCAGTACAAAGACCATGACATTTATCCATCCTGCTGGTTCCACAGCCGAACAAAGGAGCAAAGCTGCAGGGGAGTTGTTTCTTTTTTTTTTTTTAATCTATCTCCGGGGAGTCAGACCTCTCAGTACTTTGTGTCATTGTCTGCTACTCCCAGGGCAGTGTGACCTCGCAGTAGCAGCTACTGATGGAGGCTTCTGCCAAGATCAGTTCTGCTGAGGCCTGGCCTTGGTTTCTTGTCAGTCCTAGAGCAATAACCAGGTGGTGCTCAGAAGAGCTTTTCTAAATGGGACCTTCCAACTATGATAGGAAATGGACACACGCATCTATTAACATAGAGCCAACTTATGAGATGGAGTCACTCTTGTCAAGCTTTTTTTATTATTATTATTATTCATTTATTTTATCTTAATTTGACCAGAGAGAGACACAGAGAGAGAGAGAGGGAAAGTAAGAAAGCAAGCCGCCAGGTCCGAAACTTGAACCGTGCTTAGCCTTGTGGGAGTGTCAAGCGCCTTAACCACCACGCTACCTGCTGGTCCCTCTAGTCAAGCTTTTAGTAAAAATTGTTTACTGCTCTCACTTGTAATCAAGTATCAGCTCTCACTGCTTGCTCACCGTAGAACTGCTTACAGCCAGAGCTGCTTATAGCTTGCTTGAGATAATGACAGCTAAGCAAAAGAGCTAAAGACCTTGAACAATAATTTACCCTAGTATCTGCAGGATAAAAAGACCCCTTGACAACACAAAACAGACTTGAAGACTGGTGGTGATATTGTGGTAGGCAGTTAGGTAGAAAAGAGTGGGCGGCCCTAAAATAATAGCAGGAGGTCAATCACAACTTAGAGGAGTTACAATCAGACCCACTTGGAGAATTCCTTCCTCCTACCCAGCTCCCGGCCAGGAAGGTTGTTATCTTCCCTCCTGCCTTCCCAAATATACGCATAGAAATTCAGCTGTGGGATGGGACATTAAGTCAACATCCTTATTCCCATTGGGGCAATAAACTGGGCAGTTCATCCAAATATGGACCTCAGACCTTCAAAGTCCACACTGGGCATGTGAAATGTGCAAATGCAGAAAAACCCCTGAAGTCAAATAAAGAATCCAGTATTATGACAGACCTTCTCCTGCTAAATATTCATTACCAAATTCCCAAATAAAAGTAACACTTGGGAAAAAAAAAAGTAACACTTGGTCCCTTGGCCAGTGCAACTGTCCTTCTCTGGCAGCTGTCTATCTGCATGCCTTTCAGGCATGGAGGTATACTTCTTTTCTTTTTCTTTTTTTCTTTTTTTTTCTTTTTCTTTTCTTTTCTTTTTTTTTTGGAGAGGTTTTTGCTATAAGGGCGCGTGAGCTTGCCAGAAAGACAGAGAGAGACAGAGAGACAGGAAGCAAGAAATCACTCCCCAGGGGGGATGCAATCCCTTCTCCGTTCTTCTCTCGGGATCTTGGGCACGCACGCACACACGCCCAGCATGAGTTTAAGCCACCGGGTCCGGGACTCAAACCATGGTCAACTACATGGGAGTCCAGCGACATGGCCATTACACTAACTGTTGGTCCCGGTATACTTCTTTACTATTAAAAATTCTCACTTTCGGGAACCAGCAGTTAGTGTAATGGCTATGTCGCTGGCCTCCCACATAGTCGACCGCGGTTCGCATCCCGGACCCGGTGGCTTAAACTCATGCTGGGCGTGTGTGCGTACGTGCCCAAGATCCCGAGAGAAGAACGGAGAAGGGATTGCAGCGTGACCATCCCCCCTGGGGGGTGATTTCTCACTTTTTGTCTCTATGTCTCTGTCTGTCTGGCGAGCGCATGCGCCCTATAGCGAAAACCTCTCAAGAAAAAAAAAAATTCTCACTTTCCTATTGAAATTTTTCTTTGCCTACTTTACACGTGTTTGTATTTTGTTTTTGTTTTTGTTTTCACTCTGTGCCTCAGGACAGGTCTCTAATCTTAGAGATCTAGACCTAAAGAACCTAGGACTTTACAGGACAGAGCTCAACTCCCTCATCCTATAACAGCACTTTCTATAGACAACTCATTCTCTGCAAGCGCTAAGTTTGTCAATGAACTGACATTTCTCCTCAATATGATAGCCAGTCTTCCTGAAAGCTGCTTCTCTCTTCTCACATACTCAGCTTCTCAGAAACAGAACCAGCCTAAATAAAAACAAGAAGCTCGAACAAAGCCCCTCTGATTCAGATAAAATCCCCTCACCTCAGTTCTTCTTTGGCAACCCATTTTCCGGGACCTACTCCCTGCCTGGGAGCTCTGTTCTCCCTTTCCTCTCTTAATAAACTCTCCATTTTGCTATCCTCTGTGTCTGTGTCTCCAATTCTTCGTGAGTGTGAGTCAAAAAATCGGGTTTACTGCTGTTCCTACATTGAGTGTTGGGCCCATGCATCTCAACTCTCCACATCACTGAGAAGGCGGCCACTCTCATACCCATACTTGTCCTATACGTCTCTTCCATTTGGTTATTCATGAGTTGTAGCCTTTATAATAAATTGATCAGTAATATAATAGTAAACAAAATGTCTTCCTGAGCCTTTCTAATGAGACAGGAGAAAGCTAGCAAATTAAAGCGAGTAAGGGGACTAGAGCATCTGTCTAATGGGACTAGACAGAAAAATTGATCGGGGCAGAAAATTTCGAGATAATGTAGGCAGGAGATTAGTGGGGATATCTAGCTGATTAAGGCACATTTGATAAAGTCAATGAGATGAATCAGGAGGCCCAGCCACATTTGATAGAGCCAATGAGATGAGCACAATCAGTGGGCCCAGCCAATGATCTACTGACACAACCTATTGATAGATTTAAAAATTATAAACCTTGCAGAATGTAATTGCTGGGGCCTTTGAGCTACTCTTTCTCGGTCTACTCAGGCCTGCTCCTACCTCTCAGGAGTGTACTTTTGCTTCTACTTAATAAACTCCTTTTTCCTTTCACTATTGGCATGTTTTATGCAATTCTTTGAAACTCGGAGAACCTGGATATCATCACAGAAGCCATCCTGCAACACTAACAGCCTGGAGAGGCTCTGGGAACCTCCAATTTACAGCCAGTCAATCAAAAATATGAGTGGGCTGAGATTTTCAGTTAGTATCTCAAGCAGAGGCAGTCTGGTGGGCCTGAGCCCCTAACTTGTGGGACCTGACACCAACCCTGGGTAGTGTCACAACTGTATCATTGAACACCCAGTTGATGTCTAGAGAGTTACAGAACTGGTTGTTAGTGTAGAAAAAAAAAAAAAAACCCACACATTGGGTGTCAGACGTGTTATGAGTAAAAACCACTCAGACTATGCCATATGTTCAAAAAGTTAAATAGAGATATTGAAGATATAAAAATACCCAAATTGAACAGCTACAGAATCCCGGGTGACAAATAACATTGGATGTAGTTAACGCACTTTAGGCATTACAGGAGATGGTATTAGTCAACTTGAAGGCACAGCAGTAGAAACCATTGAAAATAAAACACAGGGAGAAAAAGAATACAAAAATATAAGGAGAGTAACACTGAACTGTGGAACAACTTAAAGCAGCCTCATACAAGGGGTCTTCAAAAAGTTCATGGAAGGTTAGCCACATGGTGCAGTGCATTGCATTGGGAGCGCTGTGCATTGGGAGCGCTGTGCATTGGGAGCTGAATCCCACATGGCCAACCGCGGTTCGAGTCCCAGCCTTGGTGGCTTGAGGAGCATGCTAGGCACATGTGTGTGCATGCCCAGAGTCCAGACAGGATGAAGGGGTGAAAGTTACACTCCACTGGGGGGGTGGGGTAAGGGTGGGGATTGCCTTCTCTCTATCTCATTCTCAGACATGTGTGCAAGTGCACAAGCCATGTGACAAAAAGAAATCATGGAAAATGTATATTATGAAAACACTATGTATGTTTGGGGCCGGCAGGTGGCCTGGTACTTAAAGGCACTGGACTCCCACACGGCTGTGGGACCTGGTGGCTTGCTTTCTCACTTCCCCTCTCTCTCTGTCTTTCTCTGATCAAACTAAAAAATAATAACGATAATAATAATAAATAAAGTTAAATAATTCTTTAAAAAAAAAAACTATGTATTTCAAAAACTCTTGCCCCAAAATAAACTTGTACTTTAATTCTACTTTTCCACAAATTTTCTGACTTTTTCTTGTTGCCAGGGAGACTCAACCCTTGGGGTTCCCTACCCAGGTGTGACAGTCCTTGGCTTCTCACAGGAAAGAATTCAAGAGCGAGCCCTTGAATGAGAGTGAAAGCAAGCCTACCAAGAAAAGTGCACAGAGCAGACTACTCCATAGGTGGAGCAGCCTCATAGGAGGAGTGAGTGAACCGTTTCATTCCTTTCTCCGAGTGGAAGGGGAGAGCTATTACCTGAAAGCAAAGAGAGGAGGGCTACACCATAGGCAGGGCAGCCTTTCAAATCCTCTTTGAGTTGTTTTCTTTTCTGGTTTCAAGATCTATTTGGTGAATTTAACCTGCATACCTAAAGGGCACCTATGCACAATAGGTGCCAAATAAACACTTGAATCAATTATTGAATGAAGCAAGTAAGGCACTTTAGCATGGTAAGCACCCAGTAAATGCTGCTGCTATTACTATGTTAAGCTCTCAAGGCACAATTCAAATATCCCATCTTTTCTGAGCATTTTCATAGGCAGAGTCAGACCAGTGCTTAGCATGTAGCAGATACTCAAAACAATACGGCTAATGAATACATGCATAAGAGGTGTACAAAAGGAGTAGGTACACATCAACAGAAACCCTCGCCTAGTGATGGGGTATGATACGAACCAGAGCCAGCTCTACAGACACACCTGCCCACAAACCCACCTCCCGATATAGGCCCCCACCTGGTGACGTGGTGCAGCAAGGGGTTCAGAGAAGCCGAAGAAGGGCAGGGCCAAGTTGAGGAAACCATTCTTGTAGGAGTCAAGCTGTCGGTGCCCCTGCACTACCTTGTACAGCTCCAGACACACAAGGCCAACCACGGCTGCTGTGGTTGTGGCAATGGCTGGGATGATCTTCCCTGCAATCAGCTTGCTCTGTGAGACAGAAAGGGACCAAGGGAGGCGATAATCATGTTACAAGAGGCTCAAAGTCTACAGAAGGGGCCAAACTTGGGGAACTCCAGCCTAGGAGTGGGTAGAACATTGGGTCTAGATTCCCCTTACCTTGTGGCGGTCTGCAGGGGGAATGTCATAGTTTTCTGCTCGGAGGTTGGATGCAGCCACGATGAAATCCATATGGAAGTTGCTATCATCATCCTGTTATGAATGGAGAAAGATAGTGGGGGCAGGATCAGATGAGGAAGAGGCTTCCTGCCTCTAGGGACATAAGTATCCTCCACTGCAATCACCTGTTGGACCCTCCCAGGTCACAAAGAGATGGCTGGGAACACCTACTCATTCAGAGTCACGTGGCAGGTCCCATGATCTGATAACTTATAAAGGCCCGGGGCTGGCTTCAGATCCCCAGAGACCTATTCCTTCCAGCCCGTCCATGTTCATCCCACCCCGCTGCCCTACACAGGGCCCCTAACCAGCACCTTCTCAAAATCAATAGGGTACATCTTGAATCCAGGGAGCTTGTCTGGGCTGGGCAGTGTGGCCTTAAGCTCCTCTAGACGGCTGTCATCTGCACAAAGAGAAGGACACCATCAGCCCTTTAGATCCCAGGTCAGGGTCTGAGGTGGAAATGGGAATGTGGGGTGGAACAAAAGGTATTCTAATGGATTTAGAAAGGTCAGACATCCTGGGAGAAAGAAGGGAGAAAGGGGAGAGGTAGAGCAGGGGAACAGGGTACAAACTTGAACAAGACAGAGAATGAGGTACAGGATATCAAGAGAATGCTTTCTAGAGATACTACAGAACAAAAATGAAGACATTAGGAGGAAGTGCAACTGAAGAAATCAAGAACAGAGGTCATCACCTTGGGGAGAATGATGGAGGGGAAGATGGGGAGATACAGATGGGAAAAGATATATGGAAGGGATGTTGGGGGAAACATAAATATACAGGGAAAATATAGATGGGGAGATAAAAAAAGGGTATGAAGAAAGGAATGAGGGTATATATGGAGGATGAGGCAGACGGGAAGAAATATATAAGGAGAAAGGTAGCAGAAACTTATGGAGGAGACTAAGGGAGATGTGGAGGGAAAAATGAGAGGAAATACACAGAGAAGACCATGAAGGGGTAGATGCTTCAAGATGTGGACATGAAGGGAGAGATGAGAGGAGATGTATGGAAGGTATGTTGCGGGGGGGGGGGGTGG